CTTGGTTACAATGCCCTTGCTGAATCCCTACCAGGCCTCTCGCACCCTCCTTGCCACTGTTTTTGGATCACTTGTTGCTCCCCTGTCCCTGGGTTGGTCAGCACTACCTCCTTACCCCTGCCTCCCCTTCTTCCGTGTCCCCCTGGAACCATTGGTCCCGTTGTTTTCTCCTCTAGACTATTCATCCAGTCTATCTTATCAAGATAGATCTGTAGAGATACTAATATGCATAAAAAACCAGGCCATAGCAAGATAAGCAATCAGTGAGAGCACAGCGATGACTACAAAAAAGGAAACCAATTACACATAGAAGAGTAAGTTAATTAAACAAACAAACAAAACAAAACAAAAAATTTAAGCAGAAAGAAAAACCTGTAAATAGGTCAAGGTCTGATTGTTGATCTCTAGGCGTGTCCTGCAGTCAGGACTGATGGGGTACCATGCTCTGGCCCCAGAGTCTGTCCTTTGTACTCCCTCGGGGCTCTCTGCTCTGCTCCCATGGTTGCTTTGCTGCACATTTTTTGTGGTTTGCCTCAGTGTCTCAGGGTCAGTCTGGGCCAGTCCCAACACTGAGTCTCCAGTGTTGTCCCTCTTAGAGTCCAGGGCCATAAGGGATAGCGTGTCTCGTGGTAGGATCAGCCATATTGTCCACTCTGTCCACAGGCTGTTCAGAGCGGGGATGTCGCCCTCCAGGCCTGGTGGGTCAGGATGTGCTCCACTCTCTCTTCCTCCCCCTAAATGCTCCCATTTGCTCTCATCAGACATGCCCCTCTCCCCTAGCTGCAGCTTCATTGCCGTCCCCTCAAGTAGCTTCTTCTGGGGGGAGGGGCTGTTGTCCACATAGCTGGCATGGGGGCCGAGCCCTCAGGCCCCTCCAGTGGCTCCCCAAGTATTCTTAAAAAAAAAACAAAACAGCAACACACTTGCACTATTTCAATGCTTTTCCATTTTTAATGTGCCAGCAATATGTTTCTAAAAGTTCACTTGTGTTTTGTTGTTTTATCCAAATACCCCCAAAATATACTGAAATGATTTCACAGAGCCCACTTGTTTTATTATTAAATGGTTTCCAAAGAGAAGTTTCATTTCTTTCTTAGAAAATTTTAAGTTGAGACTTGAATGAGCCAATGTCTCCCTGGTGCCATAGAAGTCTAATATCAGTAGCCTGCAGGTAACTGTCAGAGAAACAAGCATAATCAAATGAGCAAAGAATGAGCTTTGTTATTTGTTTATAAAAAGTTTTCATCTTCTTGAATTATTTGTCAATCCCCAGTTTCCTATCATCACACTGGTATAGATGCAGAAAATTCAGTGAATACTAGGATAAAGTGAAAGAGTGGTCCTATAGAAAGCTTGGTATAAATTGCCGATATGGCAGGAAATACAGTGAAGTGTTCTTCTCCTTAAATTTTCAACTCTGACTTTAGGAGCAATTGCCGGACCTGCACAATCATTTTTGTGACCTGAACCTGGAAGCTCATATGTACGCATCCCAGTGGTTTCTCACACTCTTCACTGCCAAGTTTCCTCTCTGCATGGTCTTCCACATCATTGACTTGCTGCTCTGTGAGGTACTGTAACTCCCAGCTTTCCTAAGTCAAACTGAAAACTGATTCAAATTATTACACCTTTCCTTTTTCCCTGTGCCATTTAGTCGTAAGTACTCACTGATCAAAGATTCTTTGTGAATATTTAGTAAGCATACTTTTCATTGCAATTTTATTATATATTAAGAATTAAAATATGAGGCATCATATTCAATGATGTAGTAAAAGGAAACTATTAAAGTTGAATAATTAAATTCACAATAAGCCTTTAACTGTACAATAAATTACTACCAATCTAAGTAGTTTGCAATTGATGATGGAGTTCTGTTCAGACAACTTCCTCATAAGTTTGGTCTGACATGAATCAAACATTTCTTTTTTTTCTTTTAGTTTTCCTTACTACTGCCTTTTAATTTTCAGTATCCTTACAAAACTAATCTTTATTGTCTTTGGGGGTTGAAAATATTACATTTAAACCTATAGATACATTTTAATGCATGTGGCATTCATAAATACCATCATTGTAGATCAGGCAGTGTTTTCAAAGTAAATCCTAAGACTGAATATCTGTGAGTGAATATCTGAGAATGATAAAACCAGCAAATTATGTAGACAGTACTTGTATTAATGAACGATAAGATATACCCCAAAAAACATGTATAAGTGCAATTCACTGTAAGTCAAAAATGTTGTAAGTCATGTGCTAACTACATATGTGACCTCTAAAGTTAAAGAAAAAATAAAAGAATTTAGAATCATGGTTCTTAATATCAAAACACTATGCTCCAAGAGTAAATATAAATTACATTTTCACAGTAATGGAATCTTTAGTACATAAAATATCTCTCTCTCAATGATGTTTGAAGTTCTTATCAGATGATAAAAGAGTAATAAGGCTTTTATGTCATATAATTATATTTTTAAACAGTAACATTTTTTAAAAACTAGAATTTTATAGATATCTACAGTAATTTTTTTACCCTTTTAAGGCTCTTATTATCACTTTTTAAAACAAGTGAGTAACATTACATATAGTAATAATATTACATCTTGCCCATCAAAATGGGTTTTTTTAAATTATTTTATTGGGGGCTCATACAACTCTTACCACAATCCATACATGCATCAGTTGTATAAAGCACATTTGTACATTCGTTACCCTCATCATTCTCAAAACATTTTCCCCCTTCCTTCATGAACCCTTGATAATTTATAAATTATTATTTTGTCATATCTTACACTGTCTGATGTCTCCCTTCACCCACTTTTCTGTTGTCCGTCCCCCAGGGAGGAGGTTATATGTAGATCCCTGTAATTGGTCCCTCCTTTCTACCCCAACCTCCCTCCACCCTCCCGGTCCATCAAAATGTTTAACACTCTGAGAAGGGATAAGTTGTTAGGTTAGAAGTGTGTGTCATATAGTGGGAATACAGATTTATATAAAATTAATGTTTATTGTTTATCACTAATTCCATTTTCAACACACAGCAACACCATGTTGCAGAGTAGAATTACCCTAAAAGATTTCGAGGCAGTCCTCTACAGTAACAAATGGCTAGGTCTTTATGTGTACTCAAACCACCAACCTTTCAAGTAGCAACCAAGCACTTACCCATTGTACCACTAGGGCTTCAGAAAAATATAACTGTCTTAAAATAAAACCTGGTGTACTTAAGACTATAAGGTATGCACATGATTATAAACCTAATACAGTCTTGGCCATTTTGAACTACGATACATTATTTTTTACATGAAAATTTCTATTTCTTAAAAGTCTTTAACCATTTTAATCACCTTAAGAATCTGAAGTTTAAGTATAAAAACAACTTTCTAAAAGCAAAAATGTAAGATGCTTAAGCAGTATAAAGCGTAACAGTGTAATTTCCACCAACTAGGTAACAACGACCACCTCGTCTGCGAGAGCAGCTGGATTTCTGCTCTTCAGTTACTCTAGTTGGCAGTACGATGGCCACAGAACATTGTATCAGTGTGCAAGCAGTTTAAACACTTGTAATCATACTTGGACAGAGCGGGGTTGAGTGACTTGCTGAGGGTTACCGAATAACCCTAGATACATAAATACATGTCCTAAACACATACAAACCAGAGGATCTGATTGATGGCATATTAATTCTATTTAATTTACATATTCATTTCTAAATTGCTTTTCTAAATTTAACCTAAGGAATAATGCAGATTCATGAGCTAAAAACTTGTGCAGAATCAAAATGGTGTGCACATAATACACATAAAGCACTCTTAGGCATTTGTACTGAAGACTCTTCTTTGCCTGAGTATCTAAATCAGTGTGACAACAGTTCTGATTTCTCTAATTTAGTGAAGTTCCAATGTACAAACCAAATGCACATCTTATTCCGTAATCTTAAGAACAATTAGCATACTCAGAGCTAGTTTTGATAAATATTCATACCAAATTTAAGTAAGCAGCTGCCATTGAGCCCTTTCAATTCGTGATGACCATGGGTTCTGTCCTTTCAATCGTGATGACCATGGGTTCTGTCCTTTCAATCGTGATGACCATG